TTTATACAGGGGGCGCACTATAAGTTTCCGGAACTGGCCACTTACATAAACAATATTTAAAAAGTAATTACAACATTTGAAAACGTAACTCCTTGGCTGTAGACTATAGTTCGTTTCATCTGACTGTCACTTGTTTTTACATTGTGGCATCATTTTAGAAATTGGTTGTCTACATCACCAAGGATTTAACTCGTGAAAATTTTCGTAGTATGATTTTCTACGACTTTAAGGGTCGTATTCTAGAACTTTACTCAATGCTCAAGTCAGGATTGCACTGGAAACACAAGCACTAGAAATACGACCCTAATGGCAGGGACTTCGAGTGTGATTTCGAGTGCTTTAAACCATACTCAAATCCTGACTTGAGCATTGAGTAGAGTTCTAGAATACGACCCTAAGTGTAATTTAACAGCTCAGAGGAGCTTTGCTAGGCTTCAAACTGCTTTTGGCGATGAAGCACCATGCCAGACGACTATTCATAGCTGGTTTGCAGAATTCAAACGCGGTCGTGTGAATTTTAGTGACGAATTTCGTGATGGTCGCCCGTCCACTGCTGTGAACAACAAAAACAACGATGCTGTACGCCGTATGATCAAAACAGACAGGCATGTGACATACCATGAGATTCGGGCACTTTTAGGCATAGGTATGAGTCAAATACAATCAATACTACATAAACATTTGGGTGTGAAAAAGCTGTGCTCTCGGTAAATCCCACACAAGTTTGACTGAGGCTCAAAAAACGGATCGCGTTACTTGGTGCAATGCCATGCTTACCAGATTCAACGAAGGGGCGTCAAATTTGGTATGGACCATAGTAACAGGTGACGAAACATGGACTTATAGTTACGATCCCAAAACAAAGCAGCTATCGAGCGTATGGGTCTTTCGAGATGAGCCGAAACCAACCAAAGTGGCGCGCGTGCAAAGTGCCTCTAAGCGGATGATTGCTTCTTTTTTTAATAAAACTGTACACATGGCTACTGTTTCTTTGGAGAATCGTTGTATCCTGAATAGTGATTGGTACACGACCATTTGTTTGCCGGAGGTTATTGACAAACTTCGTAAAAATAACCGTAAACGCCATATCATCTTGCACCACGATAATGCCAGTTCTCACACGGCCAGACAGACAAATGAATTTTTGAAGATGAACAACGTTGAATACATGAGTCATCCCGCGTACAGTCCCGACCTGGCACCTTATGACTTTTATTTATTTCCAAAAATTAAGAACCAGTTACGCGGTCAACGATTTTCATCACCTGAAGAGGCTGTCGCAGAGTATGAAAAATATGTTTCAGAGATTGTCACGGAGGAGTGGCATAAATGTTTTCAAAATTGGTTCATTTACATGAAAAAGTGCATTAACGCTAACGGAGAATATTTTGAGAAACAATAAATTCATCTCTGACCATTTATAGTATTTTTTTTCTTATTCATTCCGGAAACTTATAGTGCGCCACACGTTTGACATATTTTAGCTAGTTTGGCCAGTTAGGTATTAGGTCTACATGAGCGATAAAATAGATGGTGATATCTTATCTTTAACTACTGTACGTTCCATCAGATTGCAAATACAAAAAAATGCTTAAATTAAAATATCCCTTAGGCTCGATTTATATTGCGGCGGAACGGAATGGAAGCGAATTTTTGTAACGATTTTGTACATAGCATAATGAACTTTATGGTCAATTGTGTAACGTACAAATTAGATAGGTACGAGTCAAAATCTTCCGCGGAATGCGCGAACATTTTCGAGCATGCTCGACGATTCCACGGAAGATTTTGGCTCGTATCAATATTGTTACAAAAATTCGCTTCTATATCTTTACTAATAAGTAAATATCTTTAATTGCCTCGGTGGCCGAACGGTTACCATGCTGGACTGCCACGCATAGGTCCCAAGTTCGGTTGCCGGGTCGGGAGAAATATTTGTATGGCTTACATTTATATCTCTCGTGAGTTTGGGTGTAATTTGTGGTTGTCTATGTCTGTGTCCATGGCACCCGCGACACAGGGTTTCCCTAGTGCGGGGCTATGTTGAGTGTGTGAGTTATTACCGTCATTATTATTATCTCCGCAATACAAAACAAAGGAACATTTAGAAAACATTACACAATTTATAATAATGTGTTGTGGGAGACTGGAGCCCAAACTAAACAGAGCTTGTGATATGGGTCTCCAGGCACCCAACCCCTAGTATAGTCAAGTAAGTGGCACCTACTGAAGGGACTCGTCAACCTTTAAATGCAACTCTAGGCCGCTTAATATAAGAACGGTCCAAAGTCCAAAGCTTGAAGTGCTGTTGACTGTACACACATAAATGCATGTAAATAGCTTTACATAAGGCGTAGGATCATAATAGGTATTGACTTATCGATTAAATAAGTGTGTAAGTAGACAAATACATTTGAATCCTTATCGTGAATGTATATAGTGATTATAAAAATATAAATGATGAGAACCACAGAGCAAATAATTACCACAAACAGCCTTTTAGTTAAACATTGTTATCTACGTTAGGTATTATGTAATTAAGTCCATTTAATGTCAGGACGATTCACCATTATGACATTCAATTATTTTTCATGAAATGACTCCATTACTTTGTTATAATTATTAATATAAAGATTACTTACAAAACACTTAGAAGAATTCCTTCAACCCGGCTGGATTCGAACCAACGACTTATTAGCAAACCGTGTTAGATGCTATGCCAAGCCACGAAATAAGCCACCGGACTCTACGAATTTTTCCATGTGTTTGTTGCAGGTCTTTGTTTTTTAACGACTCCCAATCGATCGAGCTCTACTGCTACAAAATATATTGATTGCTCTAGGATGGACGCTACAATACCAACATCTGTTTGTCTTTAGGGTTCACAGAAATCCACACAGAAATTCGTAATATTCATGTGAGAACGTTAACAGTAGCATTGAATTCGTCGTAGTATTACTTTTTAATATTTTATGTAAACAAGTTCTATTTGGAATGTCCGGAAACTAAATCTGAAGTGGCTGAGTAAGATATAAATATTGTCATGATTTAGGTACTTCACACAAATGTTTACGTAATAGATACTATTCATAGATTTTTTACTAACAAATTATGGACCAGTTTCGAAATAAATGATTATTAATATATTATTATTATTATTATATTATTATAGATAGATAGATAGATTAGGTGTAGTATTCGTATTATCTAGAGAACAATAATGCTTCTCGCACACTTGGTCAGATAGTCGATTAAGGTTTTAGAATGGACAAGATATTTTTCTGTTGACATTCGTCTCCTTTGTCACCCTTATAGACCTAATATCGAACGACATTTGGAACTACATTACCATATAGTCGTTATTTAGTAGAAAGAGCGCATATTAATAGAGCGTAAATTTTTCAGTGGAGCATGCTTACGGTTTGGACGACTGTTTTAAAATATATCTACGTCCTGTTTTAAAATTCAATTTAGGTTTTAATTAAGTTTAAGTTTTAAAAGATTATGACCATAGAAAGTAATATAAAAAAGTAATAGCAGCAGAACTAAATTAATTATACTTTTTTAACCGACTTCAATAAAGGAGGAGGTTCCAATTCGACTAATAAAGAGGGTACCTCAGTAGTGGTCCCATTCAAATTTAAAAAAAATATTTCACGTCTAAGGTGCCAGCCTCTAACTAAGGGACCAATGCATTTTGAGGTCGGTGTTAAACACAGGAATAAACTGGATTCGATAGTAAATCTCAGAATCGGGGTGGCCAGATCGAAAATTAATATTAAGTATTTATTTTATTGAATATTATCATGATATTTTATTATCATGATATTCGCATATTTTTTACATACTCCACTAATTTGGTTTTATTGTTGATAAATTATTATTTTTTAGATAATTTTTTATTATAATTTATATTATTGATACAAAGATCGAACAACACAAAGAAAAAATACTTCTATCGATGAGTTTTATGTTACAATCAATCATGTACGAGATAGCATGAAAAATATATGCACCCGCTATCTTCTTTTTTACCTCCAACAATTTACAGTTCTAGCTTAAGTCGAATGAACAAAATTGTTTTCTGTCTCTTTTATAAAAAAATCACTTAAAACGGTACCGGTAGTTTTATTTTATTTTTCACAACTGTAGTTTTCCTTTGAACCGTTTCGGTCACTTAATCAAGCTAAGTCCATTGTGCTAAAAATCCAACCTTCTCCTCGATTATATACCTACTCACTTGTATACCTAATCATAAGTTGCCTATGACATTCAATATAGACGATTTTTCTCAAGCTAGAGAATTCCCTGTACTTACTGTAAGTAACAGATGAAATCAATTCCTGGAGCGCTACTGCGAACACCCATAATTAACCCATTTTATACGTCCCACTGCTGGACACGGATTCCTCTGAGGTTTAGGCCATAATAGTCCGCCACACTGACTCAATGCGTTTTAGGGGACTTCATCGTTTTTCCAAGGATTGTAAACCTTCGACGTGTAGATTTTAACACAATGTTTTCCTTCACCGAAAAGCTCATTGGTAAATTTCGAGAGACTTCTCAGTTTCTCTGGGTTCAAGTCCGGATTCGAATGCTAACTGCTAACTGTTGTGCTACAAAGGTAACGTGACTGGAACGGGACAGTCCCGATTTTAAGTTTAGTTCCGCTGTCCCTATAATGCTTGACAATATCCCGCTTCGACAAAACAACACACATGTGACATTAATCCATATTAACCTAAAAAAACGGCGCGAAAGGGAAAAATACGATGAAGCCAGCTCACCAGACTTTTCAAGATTTTTTTTTAATCATCAAACATTTTGTTACTCATATCTGAATTATAAACATGTATTTTATTTTTAAAACAATAATAAATGTACAGGCGCTGGGCGTCCCGCTTTGAGAGAAAAAATAATGGTCACGTTCTAAATAGGTCGCCATTTACACGAAATTATATTTCTGTACTACTAAAGGTATTCATGTCCTTCCTTAACAGTGGAAATACTTCACAAAAACGTGATCAAAGAAGTCCGGAACTCCGCAATCGCTCCCGGTACATTAGTTCGAGTGAAGCGAGGCAAAGAAGTTCCTGCAGATCTGGTGTTACTCTGCTCGGCTGGGGAGAAGGGGAAGTGCTATGTTACGACGGCTAATCTTGACGGGGAAACGAATTTGAAGACTTTGAGAATACCGCCGCCTTTGGTCGGATTCACGCCAGGTTAGTTGCCTATGCAATTGTGCTGTTCACTTGGTGGTGGTTACTGTGGAATGTGGATCTGTCATGAAATATTTCAAACTCAGGCTTGTTTTAGTGTTTCAGGAATGGCCGTTTGTCCGTGTTATATGTGCATTCAGAAATAATGTATATCTAGTGTATCTTTTTTGAAGATGAAGTAAAATGACAGTTTATGTCGCAAAAGTGTTGCTCGCTTGCAAGCAGCCAGTGATTGTGAGATCGATAAATATTATATCAACTATCGACTGAATGTTGGTTCCGCTTTATGCAATAAATAACCGAACTTGTTTAATTTCAATCGTTATCGGATCATTGTTCGTACAACTGCTGGGCACAGGTTCATTTGAATCGTAAATTTTTGTAAGTTCGTACATACATACACTACATTTAGAATTATTATAACTTCTAAAAATACGAAGAGGATACATATTTGAAAGTTTTCCATTTTAATCTAATATAGATAATCAAATCCAAGTATTCTTGTTAAAATGTACGTAAATAAAAATTGATTTCGTTATTTGTAGGTCAACAATCAAAATAAGAATTAAGAAGGCAATAACGCAATGTATAACCATGAACGTCGTAACATTCACAATTTAGATATTTTTTGGCAAAATTTTATTTTCTTTCACAATCTATCGATAATATTGTCGACAACAACTACATGATTAATTAAAATTTTATAAAAACTGGCAACCCTGCAAATGTAATTTTACTCCGAACCTCTAAAGTTGTCTTGTCTTAATGCGTGTGTGTAAGTTGTCAATTTGCAGAAATGGCCCTATTACACCAAGGATACGATAAATTTACATATATACTTATAGTCTTACTTACTTACTTACGTTCTTACTTTTTTGAAGACGAATATTCGTTTTAAAAAAAGACAGAATATATATTTATCATATCCTTGGCGTAATAAAGCCATATCTGCAAAGTGTTGTCACTGATAGGCTTACACGCATTAAGGCAAGGCAAGTTTAGAAGTTTAGAAGTTTAGAATTGAAATCATCAATCAATCAGATCTTATATAATTGAAATGTACAATAACAGCATATCAAACTTGACATTTGGACTTTTGACCGTTCTTATAGTAAGCGGCGTAGAGTTAAAACGTGTCTCAACTTTGCTTGTAATTATGTTTATATGTGAAACGAAATAAAAATACTTATATATCTGCCTGTTCTATTCCCATCAGTAGTCCGAAACGACATTTTCCAGAAATAACATTTGCTCGAATGTTCATAACCTCGAAAGTAATTTTGAGAGGAAAATGTTTTTTCTTTTAAACCTAACTTAACCGAACCTAATCGTGTGTTTGCGAAAAACATTCAACATATCCTGAAAGAAGGTTTCGTTATAATTCGGTTTTAATGAAAATTCGAAAAAAAGGTTATTTCGGAAAAAATATCGAGTTTGTGATAGGTTACCCTATCTATTGTATAATGTAATAAAATGCTTTTTATACTTTTTGCTGCAAGGTCGGGGCGTGTATCATTTGTAATTTTGTATAAAAAATGTAACTGGGATTTCTGTAGTATATTTATAAAATAGTGTATAATTGCGGTGAGTGAGGTGGTTTCTTAATTATATATTTAATTAGAAACTGCATACGCGCTGCATATGCGGTGTCTACAGCGACGAATATTTGACTTGTGGTTTACATTACATACAAGGTGAAACCTGAAAACTTGCAAATTGTTGAGCTGTTACCTATTCTTCAACACAGATTTAGATTTTAAGCCACTATTTCAAGATTTTTATATATCATTGTAATGTTGAAGAATAGAGTCTTTTTATTTAATTTTTTCTTTTAAATATATTTTTTGTTACCAGACATATTACCCCAGAACATGAAAATCGAAGTGCCCAATCCAGTTGCCGACCTATACACTTTCTATGGTCGGATAGAGATTCCTGGTTATGACAGCTTACCGTTGACAATTGACAACCTGATGCTGAGAGGCTCCAGGGTTAAGAACACAGAATGGGCAATCGGTTGCGCTGTTTACACTGGTTAGTAGATGATTTGGTTTAAAGACAATTTTTACAAAACTACGTAAAGGGTAAGGTATAAGGTGGTACTGTAATACTAATAATAAGTCCCTGGTGCGGGGAATACCGCCTCTTTAATTCAAAATTTAACTTTATCTTTTTCGCCATGGGAGAGGCAAGAGTCTAAAATAGATAATAAAAAACCGACTTCAAAAATTCGTGGAATTACATGTATGTGCTAAGAAAAAATAGAAATAAATTAATTTGCTACTCCGTGAACCCACTGATGGTTAAATCGTGCAAACTGCGCTTGTGTTGAATATGCATGCAGTTAATTTTCCTACACACAGCAACAAAAAGAATCAGAAGAATAGACGCCGCTGGGTATTATCATTCAACAAGAACGTCGAGATAAGTTCAATTTCTTAAAACTTTATTGAATTCAACATATACGTAGTTTGCTTGACCGATTTATACTAATCGTTCAAATTAACCATGTCAAACAAGGATAATCCTTCATTCTAAGGAATAATCACCAAACGCACTTGCTGCGCCTTTGAACCCGGTTTTTAGCTAAGGAAATCCCGGATTTTTCGAAATTTTCGATTTTGTCTTAAAACTCTGAAAACGTAAATTCGTAACTCTAAATATCATCGTATCACGACACGTATCACATTAATAATGATAAATAAACGCTAACTCAACCATGCAGAGTGAGCGTCCTCGTGTCCCATGGTTTGACCATGTTAAGTTAAGCAGGGGTCAAATTGTCAGCGCGCATAGGCTTCGATCCGGACACGTTCCATTAAGACAAATTTTTGTATTTGATGCGGAGGGTGAACTTACCGAATTCCGAAGTGTGTGGAATTCCTGACTACACATTTTTGTTCGAAAATCGCCTCCAGAGCAACGGAACAAGATACATCAATGTGTAGCTTGATGTGCTGGCGTGTGTACATCATTTAAATATTGGGTAGTTTAAATCTGTTTTGTCGGAGCCAACATGTAGCGCCGCGGAGATTTTGTATATATGTTTCGTTAGGTAATAATTTTGATTTATCTGTTTGGATTTTATTAAGTGTTTTCTAGAGGTATTGTTTTTCTAACGAGGCTGACATGTTCAGTAGCGCTCAAAGTCCCTAAATAAATAAAGAGTAAAAAAATGCTAGGAACTCTGGTACCTGACTACAACGCAGCAACAACATTAGCAAGATGGTTGCAGGTAACCTTTTGATAGCGAGGGGCAAGTGAGATGCGCGTGCGTGAGCTGTGTCACAACAAATATGCTCTAACTATGCATATTTATATGAAATAATAATGATGTTGTGAGTTTGATTTTTATTACAATTTAAGAAGTTGATTTATCTCATTGAAGCTGTGAATTCCATAAATAATAAAAATAATCTACAAAAAACTGTCCATTTTTTTTTACTTTTCCGATACTTTCAAAGAATTATTTGGGAGACAATAGAAAAATATCCGAAAAAACCGAATACTCGGGTAAAATTAAAAACTGAAGAAACCGGTTTTCAAAATCACTCAGTTTTTGCTTGCCCTACTAGTCAGCGCGAGCTCGAGTGTCGCGGCCCATGGGCCACGGGCCCTGGAAAGGCGGCATTAATCGCCGCTGAGTACTAGGCTGTCAGGGGAAACGGGAGTTATCACAAATATCGCAATTAGTAAAAAGGAAGCGGCACGCGTCGGCGGTCCGCGCAGCGTCTTTTTCGCTTTTATTGCATGGACATGAACCTTTTTTCTGATAAATGTGGTGACTCCCTCACCTAACATTCCTTACAAAGACTTTCTTTATAAATAAATACTATTCCATTTCAGGCGAGGAAACAAAACTAGCTTTGAACTCAAAATACACGGGCAACAAATTCAGCTCGTGCGAGCGGGCAGTGAACGGGTTTCTCGGATTATTCGTATTACTGCTTGTCCTCGAAATGGTGGGCTCGCTCTTAGCCAAGATCATGTTGGAGAGTCGGCGCAGTGGCCATGAAGTATATCTCGGACCATGTAAGTAGCATTAAAATTTTTATTATCTATCAATCCGTGTCAGATTATATGTCGTAGGAGTTTAATTAATTTTATTTCAGCTATTTATATTGAATATAATACAAAATAATCAACAACTTTAGATTTTTTTTAAATTTTCACCTTTTTTATATTTATTTAACGTTGTTTATCATTATTAGGGTCAATATCATCATCAAGTCATTATATCTACACATTCTGCCTTATCGTAAATGTCTTATTTAGTTGCAGCGTATATTTGTCTGAGTCGACCGTGATCATGGGACCTGTAAAGGGCCCGAAACGTTGGTTTGTTTGAAAAAACAATACATTACAATACATATACATTCCACTGTAAAGATGGGTCTCCTTTAACGGATCCGGTTTTGCATATGTTTATTTCAATGTATAGTAGAAAATCAGGGTGTATGCTATTCTGTTCAAAGCATGTTTGAATTGACATGAAATTTGGACTTCTTTCGATTTTCAGTTACATCGCCGCGTGGACGAGTGCTGGCACTTACATCAGATCTGTTCTCCTTCATGCTTCTCTATTACTACATCATTCCGTTTTCGATGTACGTCACTATTGAACTCTATAAGTTTATTGGTGAGTTATTTTTTTTTATTAATAATAGACACACGCTTGGCCACAATCTCACCTGATGTTAAGCGTCGATGTGACAGACGTTGGTACGCGTTTACCTAAAACACGCCTATTCACTCTAGCCTTAAATAGCCCCAAATTGTACTTTTCGGGAAACACAGATTATTAGAGTATTCCATTCGTCTGTTGTACGCATCAGAAACAGGGAGGCAAAGCGCTTAGTGAGAATGAGCGGTATTTCAACGACATAATGATGAAGTATTCCGGACCTCCTAATGGACCGAAGAAGGAACGGTGATGGTGGAACTAAATTGAAAAGTTCCTTCATACAGTCCCAGAAATGTATCCGATAGAAAACTGACGAGCTACTTTTCTGCGATGGTCAAGGTTTTGTAGCTTCGACTCCTCAAGAGAGTTGTTGTTAGTAAGTCTTTTTGCTTTTCGCTACACCGAGTCCAAGATAGCTAATTGGTAATGGGCAGAGCGTCCCAAAGGTGGCAGAAGTACTCCATACACGATCGAACTTGTGCTTTATACAGATTTAAAAGCTGTTCAGGTGTGAAGAACCGCCTGACATTTTAAAATATGTCTAGTTTTTTGGTAGCAGTTTTTGCCAAGCACTCTATGTACCGCCCAAAGTTGAGGTTAGATGATAAGTTTAAACCAAGTAGTCGGCACGGATACATCTCGGAAAGTCAGAGTAAGGTGTACGGCATTCCGTTTTGATGAGATAAGACACGTCTGTGTTTCAGCCGCATTAAACCTGACCCTGTTTTCCTCTCCCCAATCGGAAGCCTCTCGCTTTCACCTTTCACCTTTTCGAATTATTCAATATTATTAATTGTATGATTCTCACAAGAAAATAAAATTGTAAATGGGGTAACAATATTTTTATATTTAACAGGCTACTTTAGGTTGGGCTGACTGCAGTTCATGTGCATGTTGCAGACAAAGTTCCATGGGACCTGAAAAGAACCCAAAACATTGCTTTATATTTTAGCAATCGCGAAAACTCTTTTATTTGTTCGACTACATTCTAGTTTTGTACACAATGACCTGAGTATCTTTCTTAGTGACCAATCTGAAGTTGAAAGTCAAATTTTAATTTTTTAAATTCCAAAGCACATTTTCTTAAATGTACTTATGCGTCACACTTAGCCAAATCAAACCGTGTAACTTCTGCGTCTCCAAATTTCTTCCAACCAGAGATCTCGTTTTCGTCGTAAATTTGATCTCTGTTGCAGAATAGTCATCTCTAATTGAAATAAATTGGAAGACGCTACTGAATTTACGCCGTGTACTTTCGATATTCCTATCGCAAACTCAAATTTTAGACTGGCTTTCTTGTTAGACAGTTAAAAGGTAGTCATAAATAGATACAAAAAATGTTGTTTAATCTTCTTTTCAATAAAAAAACACTTTGAGTTTAAGTCCTAGGTTTACTCAAATTATAAAGCTTACACTATTTAATATTACTAGGTGCTCTATTCATTGGTTGGGACAATGATTTCCGTTGCGAGGAAACCGGTCGGCCAGCCGTCGCCAATACATCAGATCTAAATGAAGAATTAGGTCAAGTGGAAGTCTTATTCTCAGATAAGACTGGCACACTTACTAAGAACCTAATGGTGTTCAAAACTTGCTCCATTTTGGGACAAGTCTATGAAGAAAAAGAAGGAAATCTATACCGTATGGGTATGTTTGATGATTCCGTTGATACTGGTCAGGTCAGTGTCTTTCTTTTGTTATTTATAGGTACAGCAAAGACAACCAACATTCAGTGCACCTCACATGCAGTTTGCTGCACCAATTGTAACAACATACTTAAAAAAATCATAGTTTAGAGTATTTGAGAAAGACTTTTAGTCTCACTTGCACAATTACGTTAAGGGAAAACAGGAAGATTTAGACATTTGTTGGTATGTCAATGAGTTCAGATAAACATTTTCCCGTGAGAGATAACTTGAGCAGCGCCAACTTACTTTCTTAATGTGTAATCTACTTACCTAGATGTAAACAAGGCAATGCGCGCGGCGACTACGCGGTGTCAACGCGAGGTATTGTAATTTGCATTTGCATTGCCAATGTTTCATACCTACTGTACTAAATGTTTCTTCTATTTCAGATAGACATCAAATTCTTTTTCACAATTCTTGCTCTCTGCCATTCGGTGCAGATTTCGAATGAGGACAAAAGGAGATTAACTGCTCAGCTCTCAGCAAACAACTTTCAACTAACCAGCTTTTTAAAACGATTAAAGACTAACATAATTAAGAACGGAGTCACAACAAACAATAACAGAGAGAATGCGGTCCAAAACAACGTTACTAATGGTAATATTAGTCATCTAGATTACCAGGCAAGCAGCCCTGATGAGAAAGCTCTAGTAGAAGCGGCGGCTAGGGCCGGTGTTACGTTCTTGGGGGAGGATGGTAACAATTTGCTTGTCAAAATCGGGGAAAACACAGAAATGTATGAGCGTTTGCAAGTGATTGAATTCACGTCGGATAGAAAACGCATGTCCGTTATTATTAGAGACAAAGACGGAAAGGTAAGAATCAGTAATTGTGATTACGCGAAATTGATGGTCGTGATGACAATAGAAGCACCCTATTCTATAATAAAAAATGCAGCTGACTCTCGTAGCTGAATAAAAAATCTTTGTATTTCAAGTAGCTTTAAGATTGAATAATAGTGAAACGCGAGTTAAGGGAAAATAAATTAAGCCAAATTCGCGCAAAACGCGAGTGAACCCTCTTGATAGACTAAATCAAGGGCCCGTTTCGCGAGATAAAGATAATGTTATAAGTTATAAGAATGTTATAAGTAGGTAAATTCAGTGCCTCCATTGAAAAACGGAAGAAGACGAGTTTTGCCCTTTTGTTTTTATTGCACCATTGGCTTCAGCGTGTCCGATTACATAGCAAATCAAAAGGACGTCTCTCAAACAGTTTCCTAACGTTGTTTTTTTATTGAACTCAGGGCATAACTTTACGGGCATTTTTATGAGTCTAAAGGTACAAGTGCACTCAACTCAAAAAATACATGGAAGTTTAACGAATACCTACGGATATATTTTTACATAAAGACATTTTTCGTATTGTTCCATAATGACGGGGAAAACAAGTAACACTAAAAGCGATTATTGCCTTATTCCACAGTGTACGTAAAGGTATAACTGAGCTCTCCATATTTATGTGGTCTGTGGAGCTCTCCGTTTGTCCCACAGGATACGATTGGTCATATCCGCAACTATGCCGTGTTGCTATTGGTTAATAGTTTGTAACAGAAAACTTGTCGTTTTATTCCTTTAACGATTTTATGTCTTTTATCAATGTGGTTAGTATCATAAGTATTGTTATAACCATAGAATGGCCGCAGTTAAGGGAATAAGTCGTTTTATGTCTTAAAGTTTGTTAACATAAGTCGTGTTCTTCCCGTTAAGCACTCTAATAAAGATGCAACTCGAAAAAAACTTAAAAGAATATAGAAAATATGACTGAATATTTTACTAATAATATCCGTCAAACGAAAGTTTAGAAGTATACCTAAAGCTAGAAATCATAAAAAGTACTAGTAATCAATGCGAACAACCAATAATCAATAAAAGTATGGTTTTTTGCCTCTCCTGAAATTTGTCGATTTCGAATTATTCCCTTTTTCACTGGAGGCACTGAATTTCAAATTAAATAAGAGGATGTCAATCGCAAATTTTTATTTTGTATGATGTGTATAATCGTTGAGAAAGGTTGTGCAAATCGACGTAATTGCTGACGAGGATGCGCTAGACGTACCTACAGGAAAGGAATGATCTTTCGTGCGGGGAGACTGCTTTCGTGCCCATAAATAAATCAATAATGTGCCAGATAACGATATCAATTACATGGTCTCAAACTAAGTAATTCCCTACTATGAGCACCAGAGCAATGGAATTTACTCCAGGGCCGACAACATTCAGATCAGAAAGAGTTTGGAAAATTCATTTCCGAAATTAGTCCCACGCACTGGAATCGAACCCAGAACTTACTTATCTAAAGCCTGCAGTGCTGATTCTCGATAGATAAAGTCGACCTTTAGCGTTCGACATACGAGTGTTTAAATTCGCTTTAGATATAACAAAATATTGATATAAATCTAATGCTTTGGTTTTCGCGATCGTTACACATTGAAAATAAAACAATTTTTTCGGATCTTAGTTTTTCCAAACCAAATAAAGTATTTTTATTTATTTAACATTTTACGAGTATATTCTCTTTTCAATGAAAACAGACGTAACTATTAATTAGATTTTTTTTATTGATTATGTTTTGAATACGACTGTATTTCGACCTAGAATCTTTATTGACACCGAGAGTAAAAATTTTTGGACAAGTGACATTTTAATAATTAAAACACTCAGAAAATAATCCTTCGATCCGGTCGACAACGAAAAAAGACACGACAACAAGCACATAGAAAAATTCATGAGATCCGCTGGTTCGTTCCGTGGCTTACTTGGTATAGCGTCTGGTACGGTATAGCGTCTGTCACGGTATGCTAGAAGACGTCGATTCGTTCGATGTTTCTAGTAATATTTATAAAAAACTAGTGGAGTAATTTCACAAAAAATAATTGAATATCAGTTCAATAAAAATTTAAAAAATTGATATTTTAGTCATACTTTTTGAAGATTTGAGGACGTAAAATGATTTATCTATCAATCGGGAAAATGACAATCTCATCACAATCAGTACCCAAGACCTTTATTAAAATAATTATTTAAAAAATGCCGTTATCTACGCCTTGAGACTTTGTAACGTGTACTACTTATTGACTACAATATTCGTCTCTATTATAATTAATAATTTGTAGATTCTCCGCGAGACCACTGAATGTTAAATCGTGCAAAATAACTGCGCTTGGGTTCAATGTTATATGTATATATGTATAAAGCTACAAATCCTGACTCACTTAGAAAAATAGAACGCATACTTCTCGGTATGGTGGAAAAAATATATTTTATCCACCATACATTTTTCAATATGGCTGCCATAGAAGTGTTTTTGGCGGCAGATGAAAATTTGCTCTAATTCGATTGAAAATCGGCATGTGGGGATCTCTATGGCTGTTTAATAATAATTTGCAGTCAAAATTTATTTTTTACTTTTTACCGTAGCGGAGGGCGAAGTCTGAAGCGTCCGCACGCCACCTTGCGTAGGTAGTATACGGAGGCTCTATTACGGTACAAGATTTCACAATTGTTCAAAATATAAGGCATACTTCCCGATGTAGTGGAAATAAGGTACTTATAGCGTTGTTGTATCTCGACCGTCTCTCTGTTAGATTCTTTTTTCTTGGAAGCTATGCCAAAAAGAGAAGTTTAAGGAAAAGAGGCCAGACAATCACTCCAAATTTCTGATTTCAAAGTAGGGAATTTCCTGTACTATGAGTACCAGACGGTAACGATAATTCTGAGGGCAATACCCAGAATACCCTGACCAGAACCAATTAATTTTTTTTTTGTAGGAAATGAAACAATTTTTCCGGATTTAAATCGCGTATATTTGTTTTTTCAAACAAACCGACGTTTCGGGCCCTTTACAGGTCCCATGGTCACGGTTGACATGGTACGCGATTTAAATCCGGAAAAATAGTTTTATTTCCTATGTGTAACAATCGCGAAAACCTAAGAATATTTTTTTGGTTCAAATCAGGGATCGAATCTGGAACCTCCTTATCAAGCGTCCACAATACTTGATTGCTGTGCCAACGAAGAGCATAAGCACACCCCGTAACCTGAAACGGATCACGCGCCGCAGGCAGAGCCCGACCCCACCGTAGGTGGGGTATAGGGCTCGTTTTTTATGCAGTTAATTATACCATCAAAAAACACTTGACACGTGTTTCCTCTCTTTACGAGGCATCATCATCAGAGATCTATCCATGAACATAATCTCGACATCGTGTTTAAATCACTCCTGCAATTTATAAGATGGTTTTGTAAAACGTATTTGTATTTACAGATCTATCTATTCTGCAAAGGGGCAGAAAGCTCAGTATTCCCTCTTTGCAAGAACAGAGCAATGGAAGAAGAAGTAGACAGGGACATTAACATGTTCGCGAGTCGGGGTTTAAGGACACTCGCTGTTGCCTACAGAGAAGTGCCCGAAGAAGAGTACTTGAATATCAGTGACTGTGAGTATCAACCAATGTTATTTAAATGAATATCACAACATAAGTACAGCAATTACTAAGCTAGTCTTAACTTTCAAATTTGACAGTTAGGTTCTTGCACATAATTCAAAGTTACCTATTGTCGAAGAATCGAGTAGAGAACTGCCGGTGGCACTACGTTTATATTAGAGACAAGATATTATAATTCAGAGCTCATTTATTTTGAAAACACAAGATAAATAGAAGTTGACATTAACAAATTTTAGTAACAGTAGAGCTTATTATGAAAGAATTCGTTTATGGAAATATTGCCTAACCTTCCTATTTCTGCTGCCAAGCAGTAATGTGAGCTTTACTGTGTTCCGGTTTCGAAGGGTAAGGCTGCTGGTGAAATTACAGGCACATGGGACTTGTCAACTTATGCCTCAGGATGACGGGTGAAAAATCGATTTAAAGCTCTTACCACCAGATGCACGACATGTTCGTCCCGTCATTTAGTTAATATGATGTTGTTTCATTGTGCCTGGGAAGCATTAGGCATACAATAGTAGTTTATGTGACTATTACATAATGAAAGGCTTTAAAATACGAGTGCGAGTTTTGAAACGAGCCAACTAAATGCCTAATTATGTACAGTTACATACACTCATTGACTTACAAATAAATGGACGACGGGTCTAATACAAAAACCACAAAAAAAATGTCCCAAGTCAACCTATTCGAAATTTAAATTGTAATGTCATCGCAGTATCGCGCTGTCAGTCGAACAAATGAAGACTAAAGCGAAGTTTGGCGCTCTGTACCTATACGATTTTAGCGCCTTACAAGTGCGGACACTTTTTAGCGCGGACCCGACGTCCATATAATTGTAAGTCAATGCATACACTGCTCTATACACGTACTATACGCTCTCTATGATGTGTTCAGGAACCGCATGTTACGACTGGCGAAATGGCGGTAAATAAAAACTTTCCCACGCATGTCATGCAACTGTGGTTTTTTTTATTCATAGACAAACTAAAGTCGGCCCCAACTATCATATTGTTCAATAACAAGTAACGTGTGAAATTTGGCGAAATTGTTTGCTATTGACATTTCATTTCGAATGAAACTTCATCTCGACTGATATTAGAATCGAGGTCGAGTCCCTTTTTTCCTATATCTATGGTCGAGTCAAATTGTTTTGATTTTCAGAAATGTTCGAAATTTGAATGTAATAATAAAATCGAATTCGATGCTATTATTATGCGTTAACAACATTTTCACAGATAAGAAATTGGTTCTAACAAAACTGTTTATCCTTATGCTGGTCGTAATTAGCGGTTTTTGAACACATCGTAGAGGGTTTATGATATGTGTGTAGATAAAGATATTGAAGACATATTATCTATTTACTAAAATACATTATAAAGTAATAATCAGGATTAAGGGCGCATTCAAATTAGACGCTTATAATAGCGCTACAGTGGCGGGTTTGTGGCGCTGCAGCCGCGCCACTACTATGAATTTTCACACAATATCTAGTCTGTAAAAGAGGCACGCATGTGGCGCGACTGTGATGCTTATAACAGCACTGCAGTGGCACCGTCTGTGGCGCTGCCACTGAATATGTCTGTGG